CTACTTACCAAATAAATATTAAAAATAAAAGCAAGAGAAAAAATCTATTTTTAAAAAGTTAAGAATAAAAGTAACTGAAATTTTTAAAAAAGTAACTGAAATTATTACATAACACATCTTTCGTTCAAATCATCAAAAACAGAGAACCTTTACCACAATATCAGGTTTTATTTATATGTGAAAGCTGAACTCATTATCTGTAGTTAATCTATAAAGAAAATCTCTACTTTTTCACACAACTACATGTTTATAATTACTTTATAGTTTTTTAATCTTTATTTTTTAAGACAACACAGCAAATAGAAGATACATGAATCTCTTTTATGTAACTTAAAATCTTAGCATCAGCAAGAAAAAACAATAACATAAGTTAATAAGCAACACTTCTATTCAATAATGGCTTTTACCTCTCTAAAGTTAACAGGACTATACTCCATCACTATATAATCAGGCCCAACTGATCTCTCAAATATTAATTTGATCTTTTCTTTTCCTAAATTACCTGTTATTCTTTATAGAAAATATAACCTGATGAGACAACATTTTCTAATAAAGAGTGGCCATTTTCTACATTTAATATTGTTTTTCTGTACTACCACTTTCAAGTTTTAGGGGGGGATCCTGAAATAATTATAGTGGAGTCAGGAGTGAAGTTCAGACCAAAAAACACCTTATTAGAATATGAATTTCTATCCTCTTATGGTAATAAACAACAGAGTTCTAGTATTGAGTAAAAATAATGAAAGCAGAGTCTAGGAAGAGATATAACACCAGATGGTAGAAGATCACAGAGAGATGGATCATACAAGCAAGAGGCTGGGATGACTTTTAATATATGTTTGAACTCAGTATTTCCATAATCATATTGTCAGTTTATTAGGTATGGCTCAGTAGAGATTTATAGATACTAAAGAAGAAAATAATTCAACAGATTACTTTTAATGTTTACATATTTTCAGAAAATTCTTCTTTCCAGTAAGATATCCTCATACATTTCATTGAAGTTAATGGGTCTAACTTTACTAACATGGGCCCTAGGAAGAGAAATACATCAAATCTAAAGGGAATTTGGAAATATTTCATAAAGTCAGTAAACCATTGCTATTACTGTTAGGATTTTCACAGTGAACTATAAAGTATAGTTATGCATGGTACCATATTAAACAGATGGGCAGTAGTTTAAAAAAAATCTATTTCCTTCTAATGCATTGTAATACTTCATATTTTCTTTTAAAAATCTTCCAGTTGTAAATGTTTAATTCATACCAGGATTGCCATCATATTGATGTGTAGCTCTTATTTAACCAGTTCTTTAATGTGATCCATCATGTAATCTAACTCATGCTTTTAAAAATCATTAAAAATTTTAATCTAGTATGTTTTTCCTTGTCTTCCAATTTTCTTATATTTTTATTTTTCCTTTTTTATCTGTGATTTTTCTACCATTTTATGTTATACCTCTATATTTCTATAATGACCTCTTATTTAAGCTTATCTGTTTATTTTCACTTAGCTTCATTTTTATCTTAATTTTTTACAAGGCAAACATAGAGGCCAAAATGAATATTTTTAAGTTAAGAAATGGTGCCTTTTTTCTCTGTAATTGTACTTTTTTCCCAGGTCCTCAAAGAACCCTAGCCTTCAAATTTGAACCCCCTAACTGTACACTGGAGTCCTCATGGCACAGTGGTTAAGAGCTATGGCTGCTAACCAATAGATCGGCAGTTCAAATCCACCAGCCGCTCCTTGGAAACCCTACAGGGTAGTTCTTCTCCGTCCTTTTGGGTTGCTATGAGTCAGAATCGATTTGACGGCAATGGTTTTTTTTTTTAAACTCTAAACCTTTTTTTTTTTTTTTTAAATATATACAAACCATATTCTTTCAAGAAGGTAGGGAAAATAAAAAGAATTAAAAGTAAAAACCTAGAATATATAGCTCATCTAGGATTTTTTTAATGCAAATTATTTTTAATATAATTGCAACAGCATCATTTTTATTTACTTATCTTACTTCAGAAACATCACTTTAATGGCTATACATTATTACATTAAATAGCTAGACATCTTTTCTCACTGTCAAGCAATCATCACATTAAATACAAAGCTAGTAGCAGGAAGGATCAGCATTGATTAAGTACAGGTAGATAAATACAAACTCAGCTGAATGCTAAAGATATTTTGACTCTATCTCTAAAGCTTAATAATACCCAATTGCAAGTTTTCCAATCTTGCTTCCCTAAAGGAAGAACTTAAATTTGTTCTATAAAAAAAACTAGCAGATTGTAGGATACTAATTACTCAAATTCTCCTCTCTGGGCTTAGTTTTTAATTATTAGATGGAAATCTAGACTACTGATGCAAAGCATGTATATATATTACTAGATAATACTTTATAATATATAAATAACATAAGAAGCATTAGAGCACAGTGGTTAAGAGCACAGAGTCTAAACTGAGACTACTTGAGTTTGGGGTCTTGGCTCTACAACCAGCTGTGTAACTCTCAGTAAGTTACTATGCCTTAGTTTCCTTATCTGTAAAATAGGATAACAGTAATTATCTCAAAGAGTTGTTATAAGAATTTATAAATTCATGTTTGTACAGTTCCTGGCATGTAGTAAGCATTATATACGTGTTTATTGTTTTTTATATCTAACATTTGAGCATTTATAATGTGCTGGGTTAAATACATGAATTTGCCTCACTCTTCACAAAAATCTACGATGAAGATAATATTAATGTCCCCATTTAAAGATGAGAAAAATGAATCACAAAAAATTAAATGATAAGGCCAAGGCCACAAACAAGTAAATGTTAGAACCAGGATTTGAAACCAAGTCTGACCTCATGAACTGTAATCTTAGCATAGATTACACAGTACAGTATACACTAGAAGCAGTAGCCTCTTGCTGTACTCTATCTGAAGAGAGGGCAGGGGAGACATAAGAGACATTCCTGAAATAAACTAGAGTATGCATTTCCTGGAATAAAATAGAAGGATTTTAAAAATTAATACAAGAAATAAGACAGTATAATAGAAAAGTATTTATGTATGAAATGATATGCTGTCTGGTATTTGTTTTAAAATAATCCAGTTTAGGGTAAGGGAGAGGATAAAAGAAACAAGACCAGACATACATTGGTAATTGTTAGAGCTTGGTGATGGGTAGGTACATGAGGGTTCATTATTCTATCTACTTCTGTGTATTCTTTAAAATGTCCATAATAAGAGGTTAAAAAACAGAAATAGGTTGGTATATAATAAATGCTTCATTATACAAGCAAACAAGTTTCTTATAATACCCTGTTATCAAAAATAAAAAGGATATGACACACTGATAAGTATACATTTTATATGTAGTAAGTCCTACTTGAATAAGTATCCTCTCAACCAAAATGAAAAATTAATTATTTAGACACAAACACACAAGCATACATATTAAATAACTATCTTTGCATTTCCATCAACTCAAAAATATTTGCTTAAATAATTAACATTCCTTTTTTTTTTTTTTTCTCATATTTTCCTCCTGCCTGATAACCTCTAAGATTATGATACTCTTTGGTTTGTTGTCCAGGAAGCAGATGGATTTGTACAGACAAATGTGACTCCACAACATGATCACAAATTGAACAACACAAATAAAAGCAAAAATATGTTTCACTATGAAATACCTTTAAAAATTTCTCATTCAAATTATAGTCTTAAAAATATTTGATTTTCATACAAATATATATTGTGGGCTTCTTCCAAGAACAAATATAATCAATAATTAGAGAACCTTTTATATGCTTGAAAGTACACTGTTAAAACAAGTTAGTTGATATCAAAGGGAAAAAACTAACATTTATTAAGTCAGATACTAAACTATGCACTTTATACACCATTAGCTCACTAAACTTAAAGAGATTATCTACACTTTTATAGAAAGGATATTGAAGTTTAGAGAGGTAAATATCAGTTGCCTAAGGTCACACAGTTAAAAAGTAACTACCATAAACTGGCATTCAAACTCAAGCTCAATTTAAAAGCCCACTTTCCCCCCTACTATACCTGACTGCCTGTAAGGGAGGCAAAAGTCTAAATTAAAGTCAAACTTAAATATTTACGGCCTTTTTAAAATAGGCCACAAAATATTTAAGTTACCAGTTACATTATCTTATAGTGGCAGCTTGGCTTTAAACACAAAAGACATGGTTTCTGCTACTGTGTGACTTTTTTTTCAAGTCTCTAATTTCACAGTTTACTCATCTGTTTAATGCGGAAAATAATATCCTTGCTGTCTAATTCTAGGATTATAAGATTCAAAGATGATACGTGAAATCACTTCAAAAGCTATAAAAAAACCAAACAGAGTATTTTGTCTTCAAATGCTAAAAACAACCCAAAATAAAGTTTCTAAAGTAATTGTTAGTTTAAATTATTTTACAGATTCTATTAACATTTCCTGGCTTTCTAAAGCCCTTTATTGTAAGCATAGCTCGACCATTAACTCAATCATCATCCTATTACGTGGCTTCCTTATCCTTAAAAATAATGCAATAGTAATGACATCAATGCTTTTGTAATAATTAATATGCCATTTTGACGTGCTCAGCATATAATAGTTCTAAATTCTGAATTTTCAAACTAAATATGTGTTTGGTGTCACTCAGTTACATACATGAACTTAACGTTTGTGTCTTTTCACATTTGGTTTGTGTAAAAAGCTAGACTTAAGATCCGGAATTCTAAAGTAGAACACCCAACACATAATTTTAAATGATTTTTGGTTTTTTTTCAAGGCTTCTCAAAGCTGATACAACAACCAACAAGCACACCAGATCAGCAACAAAATCCACAGAAACATTCAGCTGCTCTAACAGAAGGATCAGGCTCTTTAGGAGAAAACTGCATTGTGTAAGTTTGCAAAGTTTCACACTTTTTCTCATTTAAACTCCATTTCAGAGAAAGCCTTTGCATACTGACACAATATGCTTTAAAATGGCACTTTGCTGACCTTCCAATAGTCCAGCTCTATGAAAATTCTGTGATGGGTGTAACTTCAGAGAATCTGAAAAACACAAAAAGCATCAAGTACTTTTTATGCTGAATGATTTTTTAAAAATGCCAAGAATAGCATACATCTCTTATATAACTGGCATGTATTTCTAAGAGATAAAGCCCATATTTGTGAATATATTACCTGCAAAAGAAGGCTGAATTGCCTCTATATCCGTCTCTACACTAAGATTTTCAGAAAGCATTTGTTTCATGGAAAATTATCTATTACTGCCCAAAAGGTGTTAATGTCTTGACTATTTTTAGCACACAACTGTACCACATTAGTCGTCTCTTGAATCATCTCTTGATAACTGTCTCTTCCTTCTGACTCTCAAAACTACATTACCAAACTACTTCAGGTACTGTTGCCCCCCCCCCAAAAAAAAAAAAAATCCTACAGGATGGTGACTGCCAACCAAAGTCATCAGAGCAACAGACAATGGCTACAGTTACTAAGTAGAACTCTGTGTACAAACTCAACAGTCAGCTCAGTTTTTTATAAAGTCCAGTACCTTCCAGAGTAAACCATCTACTCTGATTTACTTAAATACATTAACGTGCAGCTGAAGTCCTTTTTGGGGGGGAAGGGGGAAGCAGCGGATGGATACATCAAAAACTGAAGAAATACTAAATTTCTCAGGAAGGGAGCTCATAATGCCACACAAATTTTTTAATATGGTGAAATAAACAGTTAACAACCCGGTTATCTCTCTTGCCCCCAGTGGTTTAAAAGGTGGTGGAGTGCGGTGGGAGTATTTTGGTTTGATGCCCCCTGCACAGGGAACCTGTTCTGACACATTCTTTTGGTGTACAGTATAGGAATTTAACCTCAGTAGAGATTAGCTCGTGTTAATATTGTAGATGGTGGGAATCCCCTGCAGGCCTTAGCTAACACAGTTGTAAGACGGGAATCTCTGACCAATGCCCCCTCCCTACGACGAACTCTTGAACGGCAAAGAACAGAAAATTCTCAAAGGACAGCGTCTGTGCCTGAACTGGTACCTCTGGGAGATAAGAGAAATAAAACTAATCCGGAGAGAGCACCCCTATCTTTGTAAAAGAGAAGGAGAAGTAAGTAACTAGAATACCACTGACGTGGGAAGATACAAAGAATATTCGGGCCCTTTCCAGCAATAAGATGACGAGGAAAGGAAGAACGCCTGGTCAAGGGGGCCGTCCCAACAAGGGGAGGGAGTGGACTAGGCCGACGGGAGAGGGTAAAACGACGGCGCACAAACAATCTAGAAAGGGAGAAAAATGGTGACCCTGTACCGAGAACCAGCCCCAGGCCACGCCGCCCGTTTTCGGGCAACTTTGCTGGGGAGGAGGGTCCTGGTAAGAGGAGCCGCAGCGCACTGACCGCAGCGCCCGAACGCGCGGCCCAGTCCGGGGTGATCCCCGAGCGGCGGAGGCCGAGCGGTCCGCTCGAGAAGTGTGGAGGGGCCAGACGGGCTCGGAGATACACAGAGCCATTGGTGCCGCAGAGACTCGGGGGCCGACGGAATTTGGGCCCGCGCAGACCGCGGCTCCGCGGGGGACGGGCTGCCACTCCTCCCGCTGCCCCTTCACCATCACCCCGGCCCCATGGGTCCCCTCCCCCCAGAAGAGGCCACTCGGCCGGGGTTTAGCCGCTCCTTGCCCTCGACGGGGACCAGTCTCGCAGCCCCGGGCCCGGCCTCCCCACCCCCACGCCCCAGCTCCGAGCCTGACTCACCTCGCGAGTACAGGGACTTGGGCGATTCCAGGTCTAGGTCCGCGCTGAGCAATGAGATGAAGTCCGAGGGCATCGCAGCTCGACCCAGCCCGGCCCGAGGGCAGCGGGAGGGGGGGAGCGGCGGTGGCTGCGGCACCTCCTCTCCGGGACCGCGGGCACCGAACCGGGGGCGGCGAGACGAGGGCGGCTGCCGCTGCCTCCTGCTCGAAGGCAGTGACTTCCACCGGGCCAAAGACCGAAGAAACGGCGGCGAGGTGAAGGAGAAACTCCACGGAGACTAATTCCTGGCGAGCCAGGAGGGGGGCTCAGGGCGGGGAAAGGGATGGGGGAGAGCCAACCGGTCCGTTTCGTGCTTCTCTTCAGCAAAAACTGACGGCCGCCGCTACCGCCGCCGCCGCTGACAGGAATCTGAGCCCCGCCCCCCCGCGGGACACTGCGCAGGCGCGCGGAGGGGGGCGCCACAGACCACGGAAGAGCTGGGGCGGCTGCCGGAGGGCGGGGAGGCGCTCCATGGCACAGCATCAACAAGGGCTTCGCTTCCTGCCGCCGCGGTCCGGGCTGCAGTTCCCTAGCCGAGAAAGGGCCCAGCCGGCAGGGAGGGAGGGAGGCTGGGAGGTGTCCGCATGCTGGGGCCCAGGGAGGGAAACGGTATTTGCTCCGACCTGGAGGCGGCGAGCTTGGGGCGGCTGGGCCAGGGCTGAGCTGAGCGCAGGAGGAGACAGACCTGGGGGAGCCGAGGTGTCTGCACGAAGAGGGGAAGGACCCCAGAGACAAGCGGCGGCTGAGGCTGGCTGGCTGGCTTCGGGTCTCGCGGGGAATGGAGGTTCTCATCGCTCGGACGGAACCAGCCCTTCGACTTTTTCATAGCAGTGTCTAAATTGATCTGGCCAAAGGGCTGTCAAACTCATTTTTTAATTAGGAAATGGCAGACCATCTCCTGAAAACCTCGAATTACTGGTTAGTTTTAATAAAGTCTCTACCTCCGCCGTCCCCCATACCCCTCGCCTTTGGAGGCTGAAATTAAAAAAAAAAAAAAAAAAGATCTCTCTGATGTGTGCTGGGGTGGCCAGGTTTATTCAGAGAGGGAGCTAGAAGACAGTTTAAAATTTGGATCATAATGAAGTCCACCTGGCTGTTCTACAGGAAAACAAAAAAGCAAACCTAAACACCACCTCAAAAGTTTTCAGTTTTTACCGCTGGACTAGGCAAAGAATGGAGGAAGAACGCATTTAATTGAGTTTTTTCTATTCTGCTCATGGGCCGAAAGTTTCCATTTTAAAATTTCAAATGCTCACCTACACCGCAGACCGTTTCTTGACTCTAGTAGACTTCTGAGAAATTTTTAATTGAGTTATTAAAATATCAATGGAAGCTCAAGTTGTGCATCTTGGGAAATACTTCTAATCTTGTGTGGACTATTGATGCCACAGGCACTTGGGTGAGGTTTTTAAGCTATTTGGGGTGGTTTAGTTTTCGTTATATTATCTACAAAGATACTTACAAATCATAAAAATCAGCCTGTTGTATCGTTTATACATATATATTCAAATTTGTACGTATATACATATTCGTATATATATATATTGTTGTTGCTGTTAAGAGCTTTTCTCCCATGAATTCGGTCAAGTCCACCTGGACTTGGATTGCTGGGGATAGGGAGAGAAATTCTCAGTAGAGGAGGCCGCAGTGAAGGTGTCTGGGCAGGGGCTGATTAACTAGTAAACAAAGTACGCACGGGTTTACTTGTGGTTACTAATCTGTAGTGCACAATTTCACCTGTTTTTCACCACATCAAAGATACGGTAAAACCCTTACTTACTTATCTGCAGTGCACAATTTCACCTGTTTTTCACCACATCAGATGTGGTGAAAAACAGGTGAAATTGTGCACTTCAGATTAGTAAGTAATACAAGTAAACCCCTGCGTACCTTGCTTATTGTGTAATCCGTCCCTGGGTGGGGCCCTTTGCAAAGTTTTACCTGTAGACCCAGAATGCAAACTTGTGTCATCAGAGCTTACATATCTTTCCATCTGAAGATCTGATTCAGGCTGCCCAATTATCATCACTGAATTCTATGCAGTAATTAATCAGTCCTGTGAACATCTTCCTGTCAGAGGTAAGAAAGCTCTTCAAAGACACCCCAAGATGGCAATGCAGAACAGATAATAACCCTCAAATTTCCATATGCCATTGTTACAAGTCCCAAGGGAAATCCCTTCATAACTGGCAAGAAAGAGCCCCTCTCATATGAGAGAGGAAGATTCAAACCCCACATTGCACAACAGGCCAAGATTTATTGAAATCTTATAGCTTTTGAACCAGAGTAGACACTTGTTGGAGACCTCCCCCTCCATTAGTCAATGCATAATGTGAGGAGAGGAAATTGCAGTGAACCAGGCAAAGCCCCAATATTTAAAAAAAGTTGTGTGAATCACTCTGAGCATATCCCTTTTCCCCAGACCTACATAATCACTCAACAAACAGGGTATAGGAAATCCCCAATAATGTCCCGACCCTAATTAACAAGTTAAGAATTGGCAAGGCCTCTTCCTCTTTCCCTCAACACTTCTCTGTCCTTTTGTGACCTCTTTTTTTTTTTTTGTCAGAGTTCTTTGTTGCTTATGTTAATCAGATTTCCCCTGATTAGGTCATAGAAAAGTGAAGAGGGGTCCCCCAAGGTGTGACTTGAGCTAGACTGTGAATTTCCCTAGACTGGGATTCCATGGATTTAGCCCCCCACCCTCCAGTGAGGCCCTGCATTAAGCAGCGATTGTGTCTGAATAGATATTTGAAAATTTAATTGTTCCCCCCCTCCATTTCTCCTTTTAAAGAGCTATATTTCTAAAAAACTACTTAGATGAATAGTTTTCATGGCCGTGCTTAGCAACAGCACAGAGACCTAGATTTTCGTTTCGTCCTTCAAATTTCAGTGACTAAAAACACGAACAAATTCATTAGTAAACGGTGTTTACTCTGCTGATCACAAAATATGATATGACCTGCATGATATTCAAGGCTACCAAAAATGACTATCTGATCAGTTTCTCTTTAGTAAATTACATGTTATCCCTATTTCCAATAATATTTCCATCTGCGGTCATTTATGTTTCTGTTGCTTCCCCTTTTATTTGATATTGGAAATAGTCTAATTTTATATTTTAAAAACCAGACACCTCACCACCACACACACACCTTCATAAGACTTTCTCTGTAAAAAGTAAAACTTTAAGCATATAAAATGTGGAAATTTCCTCTCATTCAAGATTACAATAGGATCATGAACAAAACATACAGTAGATTTAGTAGTCTGTAGAATGCCTGTATATTACTTCCCAATCATATATTACATTCTCTCGTCACTTGATTAAAATTTCACAAGAACCTAGATTTAACTACAAGACTGTATAGATTATGAAGTAGAGTGGTGGTTTTTTATATTGGTGGTGTGTTCTTTAACTTCTCCTGGACCTGTTTAGGCACTTTGTGAATTGTGTAGCTGGATCTACTCTGAATGAAAGAGGTTCAAATATCAACCACTGAAAAGGAATTAAATAAACTCATACAGAACAGAGGACTGTGTTTTCACAAGAACTACAGAATTGCTGTCATTGTAATACAATTAAGGCTGTTAAAATAATTTTAGTCACACGTATATTCTAAAGAAACTGCTAAACAAAATCTGAAAGGAAAATTTCCAGAATGATTCTAGTAATAGACTAAAAAAACGTTTAAGCCACAGATTATTTTTGCTCTACCTTGGGAGCACCTCCTTAGTAATAATGGAGAATTGATAGTGGTGGGAATCAGCAGTAACTGCATTTGTGCTGAAATCATAACCAAATTCTCATTTGATTATGTGTCAACTTTCACCCTTAGAGCATCTTCTAGTAAATATTTCTGAAGGAGAAATTAGTTTCTATACTGTTTGCCATCAGATGTAGGATATTCTCACTCCTTACATCTTTCAAAGTGCCGAAATCTTATAATCAAGCGTCTAATTCACATTGATGAAGTACTTCCATACTTTATGAGTTGGTCTGAGTCAGAGCTTTCATCCGAAATCTTGTAGAGACCAGTGAAATCTCTCAAGATCTAGACTCATTGCTAGTCCTGGAATACAGTGTAATCAGCTTGATTCTAGGGGCATATAATGAGCAGTGAGAAAGGAGGTGAATGTTAGAGGTACTCAGAGGGTGGGTTACCAAGCCAAAACCAAACCCACCGCCTTCAAGTCGATTCCAGATAATAGCTACCCCATAGGGTTTCCAAGGCTGTAATCTTTTTTTTTTTTTTTTAGTTGTTTAACTTTAAGTGAAAGGTTACAATTCAATTTAGTCTCTCATACAAAAATTTATACATACATTGTTACGTGACCCTAATTGCTCTCCCCACACTGTGACAGCACACTCCTCCTTTCTACCCCGGATTTCCCACGTCCATTCAACCTGCTCCTGACCCTCTCTGCCTTCTCATCTCACCTCCATACAGGAGCTGCCCATTTAGTCTCATGCATCTACTTAGCTTTGAAGCATACTCTTCACAAGTATCATTTTATGTCCCATAGTCCAGTCTAATCTTTGTCTGAAAAGTTGGCCTCAGGAATGGTTTTAGTTCTGGGTTGACAGAGAGTCTGGGGGCCATGTTTTCTGGGGTTCTTCCAGTCTCAGACCATTAAGTCTGGTCTTTTTACTAGAATTTGAGTTACGCACCCCACCTTTTTCCTGCTCCATCAGGAACTCCCTGTTGTGTTCCCTGTCAGGGTGGTCATGGGTGGTAGTCGGGCACCATCTAGTTCTTCTGGTCTCAGGCTGATGAAGTCTCTGGTTTATCTGGCTCTTTCTGTCTCTTGGGCTAATACTTTCCTTGTGTCTGTGGTGTTCTTCATTCTCCTTTACTCCAGGTGGGTTGGGACCAATTGATGCATCTTAGATGGCCGCTCACTAGCTTTTAAGACCCCAGATACCACTCACCAAAGTGGGATGCAGAACATTTTCTTAATAAACTTTGTTATGCCAATTGACCTAGATGTCCCCTGAAAGCATGGTCCCCAGACCCCCGCCCCTGCTACTCTGTCCCTCAAAGTGTTTGGTTATATTTAAGAAACTTCTTAGCTTTGGTTTAGTCCAGTTGAGCTGACTTCCCCTGTAGTGTATGCTGTCCTTCCCTTCACCTAAGATAATTCTTGTCTACTATCTAGTTAGTGAATAACCCTTTCCCTCCCTCCCCACCCTCGTAACGATCAAAGAGTGTTTTCTTCTGCGTTTAAACCTTTTCTTGAGTTCTTA